TCATCGCCCTGATGACGGAGGCAGTATGACCTCTGAAACGTTGGTTAACATCGACCAGACTACACAGCGCAATAACCCAGAAGACGGATATCTTCATACTCACCGCTGTGAGAACCTCAAGTCTTACAATGAAATATCACTTAATGAAGGTATAAACTGAAAACATCTTGTATTAAAGACAAGGACTTAATTTATAATTACAGCAACATGAGATAACTTGTCCTTAGGTTTCCACAGCTGGAGTTCATTGTGCAACTTCAGCTTTTGAGAATAAGCTGTGTTGAGAATTATCCAGCATTTCAGCACCCTGAAGATGGTAACTAAAATGTTTGCCAAAATGGATAATTCCCAGCACTTGATGGAGATCATCTCCAAAAGCCACAGTTAGGTATAAGACTTCCAGTTATTTATTTCCATTCCAAAATAATAATGGCAGAACATGGGATTTGGTGCAGCCTTAATAACAAGTTTTATGTAGCATTTCAAGCTTGATATAATAACACTTCAACATTGTTAGTAAACATAAAATTTAAACTACAGCAAGTTAGTCTCAGAGATGCAATTAGTGAACTGAAATAAATTAAGAGAAATATCTTTTAACATATTAGTAACAAGGTAGACTACAGAAAAGTCCTCTGCCCCCTTACATGAATCTGAAATTAATTATAAATGAAAATATATTTGCAAGTATTTCCTGAATGTTTTGCATTTTTCAATATGAAAATATATTTGCAAGTATTTCCTGAATGTTTTGCATTTTTCAATATGAAAATATATTTGCAAGTATTTCCTGAATGTTTTGCATTTTTCAATATGAAAATATATTTGCAAGTATTTCCTGAATGTTTTGCATTTTTCAATATGAAAATAATTCCGAATGGAGTTTATCACCCCCCCCCCCAATATCAAGGCTATTTGGCTGGTACAGACAGCGTCTGAAGGGCAGCAAAGGCAACAAGTGTCCTGACTCCTTGTTATCTAGAATCTAGATGACGACAGCCATTACAAACCGCATTATTTTCGTCTCTTTAGGAGTGTCCCTAGGCACTGTCTTCTTCCACCTTGATGTTT